TGGCCTGGGGTGAATGGAGCTGGAGGCTGCGGTGTGTTGAAGAGCGGGGAGAAGGGAGACTCACGATCCCAGATCTCTTCCTAACAGACCTCCACAGGCACGAGGCTGGAGATGAGCCCAGCGCCGGTGGAGACCACAGCCCCGTGTCCGAGCCGGCAGGGACATCGCTCCTGGGGGAGAAGCTGGTGGGACCCTGGTGCTGGGTCACATCCACATCTGTGCAGGGTCAGTCTGCTCCAGGACATGTGAAATGCTGCCAGGGCACCGGGAGAGCAAGAGCCGCCGACCTGCTGGAGCACGGACCCACTGAGCTGTTCTGGCAGAGAGATTTCTGCACTGGGGGACGGGGAAAACCACCGCTCCTCAGTTCACCTGGGGAAGGGCCTGGCCCGGGGCACCCGTCTGAGGACCCTCCACGTGCCGACAGCTCCCAGGTCTCCCCTGTCCGGGGAGCTGCAGCAGGACGGAGGCCTGGGTGAACGGCACCTGGCCCAGCCAGAGGCCACGGGCGAATCTCATTTCAGCCTGCAGCAGCCTCAGCCTAACAGTGACAAAGAGGCCTTCACCAGCCTCTTATTGATCGATATTATTACAACACTGATCGTTAGAACACCAATTAGATCACTGATCGTTACCATGGCAACACGGCAAGAGCCAACCAGGATAAAGCATCTTTCTATAGGCACAAGCAGTGATGAAGATCCGGGACCTCGGCCTGGGAGCTGCCAACCCACAGAGCCCAGATCCCTGTCCCACCCCAGCCACATGGTTACGAATCTTGCCGCCTGGTCCTGGGCCGGGGACAGCGCTGGAGCTTCTCACCCCCGGTGCAGGACAGCCGCTCGGCACCTGGCTGCACGCCCCAGCCTGCATCCGGCACCTCACCTGCCCCTGGCTCCTTGGACTCCCCCAAGAGCCACCGGCTACTGTCCACTGCCCCCCGCCCCCCCGGGAGCACTTGTTGTGAGCCTGTGACCTCACTCCCATCCATTTTCTTTTTAGTTGTCCCCCAAATCAACGGGCCTATACCCAGTAGCCAACAGTAATAATGGGGGTGGGAGAGGTCACTGTCGCTCTTTGGGTGTCAAGGCCATGTTAAAGGCTGTAAGGACCTGACTCCTGGTCAGATAGTGGCTCCGCTTCAGGGACATGAGGCAGCTCGTCCCAAAGCCCTGGGGTTTCTCTCTCTTCTGTGTCCCCCACAGACCCGAGTCCATGATGAGCCTTTGGCTGCTGCACCTGGGAATCACCAGGGTCTGGCCGGGCCCCCCGGGGCGGCCTCCGGGCTGAGGACCCCCCCCCGGCCTG